GGCTTGTGTAATCTACACACATTCTCCAATCCCCCGACGGTTTCGGCACAAAAACCACATTCGATAACCATGTGACATAGGATGTTTCTTCATCCAAATTGGCGCCCATGAGCTTATCCACTTCGATCCTAAGCGCCGCCTCCTTTTCCGCCGACAAGTTTCTCCGTTTCTGTTGTACGGGGCGCTTACCTTCTTCGACCGCCAGTCGATGCACGGCCGTTTCGGGGGTGACTCCCGGCATTTCCAATGCGCTCCAGGCGAAGAGTTCCGCGAACTCCCTCAGCAGGGCGACAATGCGTTCTTTCATTTCGTCGGGCGCCTCCGCCGATATCCTCACTTGTCTTTCCGGGCGTTCTTCGTCTAGTGCCACCATAAGTTCCCTATCGGCCGCTTCGGCTCGGGGCGCCTCTTCTGCCGCAATTTCCATCACGTTCACCGCTTCAGAACACCTCCGCTTTCGTCCCGTTTCTTTCGCGTAACGCGGGGCGCCCCACCCCCGTGCTACTCCTACACCTTGTGGCGCAATGAACTTCAGCGTTTGATGGCAAGTGGAGGCCACACCATTAAACAAGGCCAAGAGTGGTCTCCCTAGAATTGCGTTGTATGGTGACGGGCAGTCCACTATTCCAAAATTGATGGCTCGCGTTACCCTTTGCTCCCCATCTCCCAGAGTAACCGGCAGGCGCACTCGCACTATTACCCTTGCGGGCGCCCCCGAAAAACCAACAAGCACCGACTCGGACGGCCTGATGAGTTCCGGCGATAGTTGCATGCGGGCCACCGTGTCCTTGAACAACACATCCATCGAACTTCCCGTGTCCACAAGCATTCTCCTGACTCGGCACCCCGCCACCACTCCTTGAATTTCCAGGGCGTCCATGGATGGGATCATGCATGCTTCCTCTGGCGCCCTATTGAAGCTGATGTCTATCGCCTCTTGAACGTCTGCCGAAGCTGCCCTTAAGCGGCGATTTGCTTCTATTTTCTTCCTTAAGTCCATCGTCCCTGAAATCGCCTCTATAGTCAGGCGCACCCGTCCGGGCGCGTTTTCTTGATCGAGCTCGTATGGCGGGGGTGGTAGCCCTTCTCTTTCTCTTTCCCCACCGGCCACACAGGCCCTGTGCATTCTTTCATCGGGCTTATTGACGAAGTCATTGAGCATTCCCCTGTCGGCCAGGCCTTGCAACTCGGTTTTCAGTTGATAACAGTCGGCTGTATGGTGCCCTACTTCTCGGTGGAAGTCGCAATATCGATCTAGGTTTCGCTCGTTGGGCTGTCCTCTCATGGGGCCCGGCCACCTGATATGATACCCCTTTTCTTTAACATGTTGGAGTACGTTTTTCAGCCTATCATTATACTCGGCAAAGGGCCCCCTGGGCGCCGGGCGTCCGACGTCCATTCTCCTGGGAGGGAGGGTGTTTGCGGGCGCATAGCCCGACCCGCTCGCAAAGTGCGGTCTCCTTGTCGTCTCCGCCTCTTCTCCCTTCGTCTTCCGTCTGTCGGCCCTTCTGGCCGCCAAAGTTTCTTCAAGCATGATTACCTTCTGCACTCTGCGATCCAGATCTTCAGTGCACACCACATCTCTTTTCGCCAGCGACCTGCACAACTCCTCGCAGGTGGTGCATTCATTAAGACACACCCCTAACACTGACGGCTGCGCATCCTTCACCGCCAAGGCCACAGACAACCACCTTTCGTAGAACTCCTTCAACGCCTCTCCATCTCTTTGCTTGATCTTGAACAGGGCGCCTATGGTCAGGGTGCGACGTTTCCTGCTGGCGAACTTCGCGAGAAACATCTCCGCAAACTGCTCGAAGCACTCAATGCGCCCTTCTTCAATCTGATAATACCAATCGAGGACCACGCCCGCGAAAGTTGACGGGAACACCTTACACAGTGTGGCGTCCGTGCTGTTGTAAAGCTGCATCTTGGTAAAGTAACCGTTGAGGTGGTCCTCCGGATCAGCGGTCCCATCGTAGGTGGGGAGTGGGGGAATGTTGGTTCCCGCTGGGTCCGTTAGTATGTTACGCGCCAGAGGTTGTCTCACGGGTCCATGACGAGACAGGCGCCCCAAAATTCCCCCATTCCATCCTCCTGTTTCTGGCCCGTCATACTCTCGCGGGCGCCACGAGTTGGGGCGCCTCTGGTATCCCGACTCACTTTCCGTCTCCGCAACCCTCTCCCTTTTCTTCGTTGGGATGGGCGTCATCCCTCCACACCTCTTTAGGGCGTCGACCTCTCTCCGAAGCGCCTCGATTGCTCCATCTTGGTCTTCGATGATTCTGAATAGTTCTCTCTTTGTCATCGAGGCACCTTCCGATCCCCGAAACATGTCGTCGCTCTCCCCTCCTTCTTCCATCTCGGGCGCCAGCCCCCTTAATCGCTCCGATTGGTCCTCCGTAACTTCCTCCCCTTCCATCTCCTCGTTTAACGCTGCCTCCTCACTCATGATTTCTGGTTATATTCCCCTACCTGGCGCGCCAATTGTTGGTGCCACGATACCCGCCGCGTGTTACTGGAATCCTCCTTTCTCCCGACGCCTGCCTACACACACAAAGAGGAGGGCGTCTGAGCCCGTTAATCCTCCGACGCCCAAGTTAGTTCCCTTAGAGAGAGAAGTGCTCTTATGTAGAAATTTATGTGAGAGAGTCCAACCTCCGTAAATGCTACCGACTGCCCCTATTTATACTCACCAAACTCGAGGTTGATCTCCTCCACGTCATTGTGCTCCTTTAATGCTTTGTACTTTCTTTGTCAGGCACCCCAACCACCCTGTCAGGCTTCTGACGCGTGCCAGGCGCCCCAGGCGATGGAACACCTGACAGCCTGGACTCCTTTGGCCTTTAGTGTTTTGTCTCCATGCGCCCTTCCTCTTATTTGGGCCTTGAAGTATTTCACAGGGCCCTCTCTTGGGCCTTGCCCCCCAGGTCCCTTGTCTGGGGGCCCAAACTCCTACTTGCTGGGTAATACCCCAACAGAAAGCACTACGCTTGTAAATTCTGCACATATCACCCCTATATAACGTAATGCAAGGGTAATTTAACTAATTACAACTTACAAGAACAAGAGTAAATAAAAAGCGAGCTACTTTATCTCTTAAAAACTTAAAATAAGGTTATTGTCACTAAATAACAAGAATCATTTTGTTTACCGGTAACTTAATACAGGAGAAACCCCAAACTTTGGATGGATCCCAGGCTCCAAACTTCATTACTTTGTCTTAATCGTCTATTTTGCTCATACACCTTTCAGTAAGTACATCACAGTCCCCGCTACTTGCAAACTATACTGACAAAATGCATTTAGTTATTCTTGTAATTACAGAAGAGGTATGTGCGCTTCCAATTATTGTATGTACCCTGCCTTCAAGGGACGTACGGGAAGCAAGCAAGCAGCCATAGCCAAAACCATGGGCGTTTTTTTCCAGTTTTCAGTTTCCTGCTGGCTGCTGCTACTGGACTAGTTAGTACAACAACAACAACAACAAAAGCTGCCGAGCATGTGCCGCCGTGAAAACTCGATTGGTACTCATTTGTCCTGCATCGAACTGGTGGAAACAGTGAGTACTTGGCTGACCAGATCCACCAAAAAGGGGATGATTGCATTCTATATGGTATCCTAAACCTACACACAACACATTGATCACGAGCAGCCCAAGCTTAATTTCTAGAACAACTTCACAGTTCCAGACCACTGCTTAGATTACATCTGTAGACATAAGTTTCTCATCTTCAAGTCGTGCTAACAACTGTCTAAGCCAAACGAGAGAGAGGGAGGAAATCTTACGAATGTTAGCTGAATTTTGCGAGATATTTTCGTGTGTAGATAGATTGACGTGTTCATACAAAATGCGCGACATATTCACTCAGTAAGTTTGACATAATCATGCAACACAATTAGAACATTCATGTTGAATTCGCTTATGTTGTAATTATGTTTTAGTAATCCTTATTTCATAAGTGTTTTGTTTTTTTAGTAATTCTTATTGTTTAAGGATTACTAGTTCCTTAAGAATGAGCTAACCTTCATGGTTACACCTTTAGCCTTCTCATCCATATTCATTATGTGTGATACATCTATTCACCCTTGTTTTTGTTAATCCGCTTTGCACTGACACTGAAAAGGTCTATTCAGATCAAGTTTATGTCCTCGTCATTTGAGTTAGGGCTGGCCAAGCTCTTCATAGAAAGTATAAAATGATATCATACTCCTTTTATATGTGTGACGAATCGTCTTTTGCTCTATCATATCTCTTTCACATTTCGCTCTGTACCCAATAACTATCTACTTGCTACATACTCATTACAAATCACCACAAACACTTGACCAGAGAATTAAATTCAGGGTTAATGATTCAGTGTTCAATCCAAATACAACAACAATTGAAATAACACCGATCAGTATTCACGATTTTTATTGATTAAGAGGATCACTCAGATATCTCAAATCAACACTTTGACACAACTTAAACTTTCTGACACCACTACCAAAAAGTTAGGTCCAAAACAGAACATGTACTTGTAACCCCATTCAAAGCAGCTATATGGATTCTTCCAGGCCGAGAACATCAGTAATTATTAGCGTGACTCCAACCAACTAAAGCTACAAGCTCGTAACTCTAGTCTTAAGAACAACAACTAAATCTTCTTTGCACTTGTTAAGTGGAGAAAATGGAGGGCAGGGCTGCTGAACAGCAGCAGGAGCTTTCCCAACCCATCAGCAACTTAGCAATTTTGTCCTCTTTATCTTTGCTCTCTTATCAACCTGATATCAAGCTAGGCTAGGATCTGCAGTGTTCAATCACGGGTAAGCCGCAAAGGTGGAACCAGATCAAGAAGAAGAAAGAAAAAAACACACACACACACACACATACAGATACAGTGAGTAATTAAGTTTGGCTGCAACTCTGTCGCCCCTGTTCTGCCTCTGTTTCTGGGTATGATAATAATGCAGTTTTGATTAAGGTAGCGTATATGTGGTGGGAAAGCATCACAGGATTTGGTGTTGTAATATCATAATAATATTATCAAAATATATCAAAACCAAAACACACACCACCACCATGGCCACATATTCAAAGCAGCTATAGCTTCACGGACCATTTTAAGAGCGAGAAGACGACACCCACGAGACTAACAAGGAGAGAAACAATTTAATGTGCAGCCAAAAAAAAAAAAAAATAACGAGAGCTTATTCTGTTGCATCGATATAAAGGGAGGGAAGATAGCTCGCATGAGAAAGAAGGAGAAGCCCAGCTCTCTCTCTCTCTGTTTTCTCCTCCTCCTCCCAATTAATACCCACATTTTATTCCTCTGTTCTTAATAAATTCCTCACCCTGTCTTCCGCCGCTTTTCACACACAGGCAGGGGAAGATGGGAAGGCCGAGTTTGAGAAGCTTCACGTCCATGGTGTGCATTGCTTTCCTGGTCTGGTCATCGTCGAGCTTCGAGAGCTGCATTGCGAGGAGCGGGAGGCGGCATTGGAGGAGGCACGACGGCGACAATGGGCTTTCAGCTTCTCTGTCAAAGAAGAAACCCAAAAGCCATGGAAGCAGCAGTCACCACCATCACAATGGTGGGTCGTCAAAGAAAGCTCCTCCTCCTCCTTCCACACCAGCTAAAGCGCCAAATTCACCTGCTCCGTCGTCGAAACCGCCGAAACATGTTCCGGTAGCATCGCCGGCGCCGCCTCCTCCTCCTCCCACTGCTGCAACTCCGGCGCCGCAGAAAGACTCGCTCACGTTCAATGTGCGTGATTTCGGCGCCACGGGGGATGGAAAGTGCGACGACACTAAGGTAATTGGACGACTCAATTTGTTACACCATGTCTGTTCACTCAATTTGTCTGAAATGAAGTTCCACCATGTTTGTTAGTCAGTTAATTAGTTAACTCCAGAGTCATGGTCCAAAACAGAAACAGAGTCGGGGCAGAGAAATGATTCCCTTTTCCTCCATTTGTTACGAAATACGAATGTTTGTTGCTTTTGCTAATGATTACAGAGGCAACCACCAACCAATTTAGACTCGTGAGCCAGATTGGGCCATTTAGAGAAGAAAAAGCAGCCATTAAAATGGAACCCAACACATAAAAATGAATTAGCCATCTGCAGAGCTAAAGGAAGGCGACAAATGAAAGTGACAGGACAGATGGTGACAAAAGTAGTTAATCAGTAGCTTACAAAACAATAAATCATTTCTCGTTATGCCGGCCGGTTTATACAGTTGGATTATTATATTTGATGAGATTGTGGTTGTTGATGGGATTTATGTTATGTTATGTGGGTATGAGCAGGCGTTTCAGGCAGCATGGGCAGCTGCCTGTAAAGTGGAGAGATCAGTGATGCTTGTTCCTGAGAAATATCAGTTCCTCGTTGGACCCATTTCTTTCTCTGGTCCATACTGTCAGAAAGGCATCACCTTTCAGGTCAGCTCCATTAACCTTACCTAATTCCTGCTTACCAGCAGACTAGTCGAGTCTTACAAGTTAAATCTTGCAGGTGGATGGTACAATTGTGGCACCCATGAACTCCAACGCCTGGGGCAAAGGCCTGCTGCAGTGGCTGGAATTCTCCAAGCTTGTGGAGATCACAATTCAAGGGAAAGGCACCATTGATGGGAGTGGTTCAGTTTGGTGGCAAGACAACCCGTATGTCGAACCTGACAATCTAGCACCACAGATCATCCCTTTGAACAACAGCACATTGTTACAGAAACACCCACCACCGCTACAAACTGAACTCAGCAGCAAAATGCCAAGCACCAAACCAACGGTAAGGAACATGATACCAATTGCAGCAGCAGCATAAAACTGTTCTGTATCCTCGAGCTCGCGCCATGTCCTAACCCGAATCATCGATTAACAACAAAAAAAACTGCAGGCGGTGAGGTTCTATGGAAGCCTGAATGCAACCGTGACAGGTATCACGATTCAGAACAGTCCTCAGTGCCACCTCAAGTTCGACAACTGCATTGGCGTGATGGTGCATCACATTCGAGTCTCGTCCCCAGGAGATAGTCCCAACACCGATGGAGTCCACTTGCAGAACTCCAGAGATGTGCTCATCCACAGCAGCACCCTTGGTTGCGGTAACTACACTGCATTATTTGATCAATTACTCTTTTACTTAATCCACACAAAAAAAAAAACTCTTCAAATCTTATCTTCCTCCATGCACCCAGTAGCCACAAATTACTTGGACACCTGGCTTCCTTCCCTTTTGGCTGTTGCTCCACAGCCACTGGATTCCTGACACATGTGAGTACACACACAAGAATCATCATCTGGCACATGCCATTGATCAACACTCGAGAATGGACCACAAACACTAGAAATACCTCTACATTTTTTATTATCCTCCCCTGCTCTCATCTTGTCCTCTTTCCCCTCAGTGAAAAATGTCAAAAAAAGAGGTTCACATGTTGATCTCCAAGAGTCAACCAAGACTTGACTGTACACTCCTGTGAGAAATAACCTGACAATTGAACAACTAAATGTAAAACCGCAAGTGGGTGATTAAATAATCTTCTGGATTTTTGCAGGAGATGACTGCATTTCCATACAAACAGGGTGCACAAACGTATACATACACGATGTGAACTGCGGTCCAGGCCATGGCATCAGCATCGGCAGCTTGGGAAGGTATAACACACGAGCCTGTGTCTCCAACATCACCGTGAAAAATGTCAACATGCACAACACCATGACCGGCGTCAGGATCAAGACTTGGCAGGTACTCCATTCCCTTCCATCAATGTCAATCTCTAAACTAGAGATTCTCCTCCCACAATCTACGATTAAATACGACAGCGGATTGTCAAGAACCACTTAATCCCAATAACTCGAGTCGTTGGGAGAGGTTCTATAATGGATCTTATACCATTCACAGATTACCTACAATTCTTTCCCCTCTTTTTTTCTTCCTGCAGGGTGGATCAGGCTCGGTGTCCGGGATCATGTTCTCGGACATCCAGCTCACCGAGGTCCAGTTCCCGATCGTGATCGACCAGTTCTACTGCGACAAGTCCACCTGCAAGAACCAATCCTCGGCGGTGTCGGTGTCCGGGATCAACTACCAACGAATCAAAGGCACATACACGGTGAAACCTGTGCATTTCGCCTGCAGCGACAACCTGCCGTGTATAGACATCAGCTTGACGAGCATCGAGCTGAAACCGCTGCAGGAGAAGTACCATTTGTACGATCCCTTCTGCTGGGCGACGTATGGAGAGCTGAACACTCCCACCACCCCTCCGATCGAATGTCTGCAAATCGGCAAGCCGACGAGCAACCGCCCACAAACCGATCGCGACACGTGTTGAATCGCCGCGCGGATCGAACGGATTTGTGTGGTTGGGCAATCATTTTCCTGACCCCATATCCGCACACCTTAAGCAAAAAAAAAAAAAAAAAAAAAGCTTTTATCAGGTTCATATATAGTTTACCGTAGCAGTCCTGCTTGAAGAATTAGTTCATGTAAAATATCCGCGAGAGTTATATAGAAGAGTGTGTTTTTTTTTTTTTTTATCATATGGAATATGATTTGTACTATACAACCAAGCAATTTATTTGCATATGTATTGGGTTGGTAGATGAAGATAATATATATGTTCTATGAGTGGTTGTGCAACATCTCGTGTTTTTTGCCTCCAACATATATGCAGACTCTTTCTTTTTCTAGATTTGCGGCCGCGATAGATAAATCGATATAAACTCAAATTTAAACTTGACTAAAAACCACTAGACTAGTACGTCGGGATAGTTTTGAATGAGCGAAGCAATTTACAATACTTTTCAAAAGATTATCAAAATTAAACTAAATTTAATCGACTAACAAAACAAGTGTAGACAATCTTTGTGTAGATATGGCAATTTTTCGGACCAAGTTTGTTACATTCATGGAAGAGTATGAATTCCGGCCTAAAATCCGCCCATGTCTAACTAATCTGGTAGGTCTAGCCCATGTTCAAAACAGTATATTTGTAAATTGTAAGCAGGCCAGATCCAGCAGAATCTGATGGGCCTAGTCCACTTTGGCTCACGAGATATAGTCTTTACTCCCTAGTCGCTACTTTAGAAATGCGACACCGTATTGGTTTAGTTTACTCACACAATTCGGATCGGACCTCGGATTTGCATTTCCTTTGGGCTTTAAGCCCAGATCATTGGGAATTTGTGGGAGGCCCACATTGACATAAGGCGCTTTGCTTACGTGGGACGGAATCGAATAAATTAGGGTAAATACAATTTAATAACCAAACCTTTCATTTTAAACAAAATAATAACCAAACATTTTCAAAAACAAAATAATAACCAAACCGTCAACTTTCCGTCCGGTCAACTGTTAGTTGACTCCAAGGTTGTCAAACCGGTTTATGCCAGTGTGCCGGTTTAGCAAGTGGAATGGTTCGACCGGTGGTACATACCGGTTTGTGCCGGTTCATGCCGGTTAATATTATAAATAATTTACAAATACTCATATTTAAACACGACATTAAACGTCAATACCTAAATATTTGTACTTGGATCCAACAAATAACATCAACATTTAACTTTTTAACACATAAAATAAATAATAAATTATTTTTTATCAATTAAATTCACTAAGATAAGGTCATTTTACTTGGAGATTCGTATATCGATCATGCCGGTCATACCGGTGATGTCATGCCGGTTTTATGACCGGTACAGGTTGAACCAGGTTCAACCAGTGGCACGCCGGCCGGCGTGACAACCATGGTTGACTCTGACGTGGCAATGCTGATATGGAATGAATTTAATGACATGGTAGAAAACAAAAGGCCACATAGATAATTATAAATTTTAAATAGTATTATCATTTTATCTCCTTCCTCCTCTGCATCGCCTTCTTCGTCTTCTTCTTTGAACCCAGGAAACAAAAACCAACCACATGGAAACCAGATTGTCTCCACTGATGCTAATCTTCTGGCCACCATCTCTTTCCTATTGCAGAGATGAACCCACCAAATTGTATCCACCAATTTCAATTAATTTCTTTTCTGTTTCTCATTCAATTGAGAATCCCAATCCTAGAACCCTACAAACCTTACAAATCCAAATCGGGTTGAAACTTCCCATTTGGGAGAGAAACTTCCCATCGTCTCGCCGCTCAAAGTCATTATGGGTGGATGTGTTTATGGTTGAGAGAGTTGGGTTTGTCTAGGTTTCTCCGTTACTCGTTCCTTCAAGTTGGTGCGATTCGTCGGCAGACTCCAACTCTCTCTTTTACCCCCGACGGCTCGATTTGACGCAGATGATAACGGGATGGTGGGATGCACGACCATCTTCTTCCTCACGGCGACGGCGGGATGACACTCTCCGCCTCTAGTCCTCCAAGGCGCTCCAATTTTGAGGCATTCAGATGCGAGATGGTACTGGATCTAATGGATCCGGCAACACCTAGATTTGGCCAGTAATTTTGTGTAGAAGTAGAATCGGAAAAATCGACCCACCTTAAAAGAACCCATCAACGCCTCAATCTGGTCTTGAAACGCAGAAGAACCAATTGTCAGAGGTCGTTGGAGACTACCGTCAGCGGACTCTGCGAGAAAACCCTCGCCGCCGTCAATCCTCTTAAGTCGAAGCGGGAGACTTCGTCATCCGGATTTCGATTTCAGAGGAGGGAGGAGAAGTAGAAGAAGTAAAATATCAGGATGAAAGAAAAATAGATCTGGAGCTCGTCGCCAGGAACTTGAACTGCTCTGGCAAGTCGGAAGAAGTCGGCGGCGGCGGGGTTATCTTTCCCTGCGGCGGAGGAGTTTATCGAGCGAGAGAGATAGGGGAAGAAAAATACAAAATAATTTTTGTTTCCATAAGAATTATTTAAAATTTATAATTATCTATGTGGCACAGTTAAATGTTTGATTTTTTGCCACGTCATTAAATTCATTCCATATCAGCAAAGTGTTTGCCACGTTAGAATCAACTAATAGTTGACCGGACGGAAAGTTAACGGTTTGGTTATTATTTTGTTTTTAAAAAGGTTTGGTTATTATTTTATTTAAAATGAAAGGTTTGGCTATTAAATTGTATTTACCCAATAAGTTATTCGTTCGTTTCGTGTTTCAATCTTCTCTCCGTCTCCGATCAACGTGCAGCAACAGAAAGCCCCGCTGGGAATTCAGTGTTCGGCTTTCATCTTCTTTCCGCCGGAGACTTGAACGTGCAGCTCGTCCAACTCCCGGGCGGAAACATGGAAACTTCCGTCCTCGGATTCCTTGGTAATTTTGGCGCCCGATAAGGTGGGGAAGAAGAAGAAGAAGAAAGGAAAGGTATATTTGTAATTGCAAGTAAATTTTTCAATGAGTGGGAATGAGTTCCGCTTCTTCTTGTCGTATGACATCAATCTCCCTGTCACATTCCGAATCGAGAGATTGGAAGGATCACTGCCTCCTGTCGAATTCCCCGATTCTGGTTAGCATGCTTCTTTTTCCTTTTTCGCGTTAAAGTTTTCTGCTTGAATGAGCTTGGCCACAAAATTTCCACTTGATTCAGCTCAATTGCACTACTTAAATTGCCCCTAATTGCTAGAGAACTGGACTGCCTTGTTTATAGTGTGCCTGTGATAGTCCGAAGGAACTATTGCAAGATGTATAATCATGAGAGAGCGAATTTCGCTGAAATGTTGGTTTCAGGGATTGTATTACTTAGCGTTTGAGTGAGGCCCTGAAGGTCTCCTGTCTTGTACTCTAGGAATAAAATATCGCTTAATTTTGCTACTTGTTTTACATTGCGCATAGTTTCTCTGCTAGTTATGGGTAGCAGGAATGAAGGGCTTGTAATCCCGTGGACTGCTTTAACTTTCGCTTACAAATTTTTCACTTCGTGTTTATTCTCCAGGAATTGATCCTGCTGCGGAAGAGAGAAGAGCAGAGTTGTATGTTGAGTGTGTATTATGTATGGATGGCGCTCCCTTTGGTCTTCCCATGAGAACAAGGTTACATGACTTTTTTCAACTAGTTTCCCTTTGTTATCATGTTAATCGTCCCCGCTGGTCCATATTTTTTTGGGTTAGTATACGTTAGTTTGACATGTTTTGCTGTCATACCTCCATTTATGTAATGTTTCGCCAGGTTAGAGACCAATGGATCGGCTTACTGCTGGAATGAACTCATCACGTTGAGTACTAAATATAGAGACCTCGGTAGATACTCACAGCTTGCTTTAACAGTAAGTCCACAAACTAGTTACTTTCACCTCTTCTCTATGAAATGCATCGGCCATGTGAATTCCGGTGCTTACTGAGTTACGAAATGCTGTTGTCAGTTGCTGTCTTTTGTTGGTTGAAGATTTTGTTCTTGGCTGTGCTGCAAATTTGATTGGCAACAGACGAAGCTTGCATCTTTCTACTCCCTCATTTGGGGTTGAACTCTTGTGAATGTTGATCTATTCGGAAATTCAGGTTTGGGATGTTTCCCATGGAAAAGATGAAGGCCTAATTGGTGGGGCTACCATTCCTCTTTTCAACAGTAAGTTGCAACTCAAAACAGGCAAGCAGAAGCTTAGGCTTTGGTTGGGCAAAGTAGCTGATGGATCATTTCCAACAACTACTCCTGGAAAGGTTCCTGCTGAATCCTTTGCTGGTAACTTTGGATCTGGAACACAATCTGACGTGCTTCTGAGTACAGGTCCCCAGGCATGAGCGTGGAGAATTGGAACGTTTAGAAAAGCTTCTGAATAAATATGAAAGGGGGCAGATTCAGCGTGTAGATTGGCTTGATCGGCTTACGTTTAAAGCTATGGAGAAAATCAAAGGCCGCAAGAGCTCTAAAACTGGGAGTTCACACCTGTACTTGGTTGTTGATTTCTGTAGCTTTGAACATAGAGTTGTTTTCCAGGTATCATCCTCTTTCGTGTGCTTTCTGTTAGTGGTTACTGGTCATCATTTTCTAAGTACGTCATTCAGATTGTGATACCTTCGGATTTGAACTTTATTGCATGATCTAGATAACATTAAGGTGTGTGAATGTGACTTTTTCTTTCTCCCTCGTAGGAATCAGGGGCAAATTTTGTATTACCATCACCTATTTCTTCAACAAATGAACTTGTTATTGTTTGGGACCCTGAAGTGGGTAAGATAAATCCTTCTGAGCACAAGCAACTGAAGCTAGCAAGGAGCTTAACCCGAGGTATCATTGACAGGGATTTGAAGCCAAGCAACAGTGAGAGAAAGTAAGTGAGCAAGTGGATAGGTCTTAGTATCAAATTTTCGTTGCTTATAATTTCCGAGCTTAAATTGTCTGTTTTATAGGTGTGGGCGTAAAGTTATTTTTGTTGGACTGTCAAGTTGATGAATGCGCTATCAGTGTAGAGCATGTAGTTGTTAACAGAGTATATGACAGCTCTCGTGGAAATTATACTTTTACAGGTCAATACAAAGAATTTTGAAATACCCACCAACACGATCTTTGAGTGGAGATGAGAGACAGCTGTTGTGGAAATTTCGCTTCTCGTTGATGACTGAGAAGAGGGCACTCACAAAGTTTCTCTGATGTGTGGAGTGGAGTGATGTTCAGGTTAGCATCGAGTCTTGTTCTTCGGTCCTCCACTTCATAGTCTATTGTAAGGACTGAAAGAACTTGGCCATAAGCATTTAGTTGTCTGTATAATCTGTGTATATGTGTTTCTTTTTAGTATTCATGATTGTTTTCAAGTATCATCGAAATGTTTGTGCTTGATTGATGCAAACAAGATATAGGATTCTGATAGATGTTACGCTATCTATATGCAGGAAGCAAAACAAGCTCTAGAGTTGATGGGCAAGTGGGAAACAATTGATGTCTCTGATGCACTTGAGCTTCTATCTCCCCTTTTTGAAAGTGAAGAGGTGGGTCTTTGGCAAGGCTACACTGGTCAAAGCCAGTAAGCTTTCTCTACACTGTTAGGACAATTAATGGTACTGTAGGAGATCTTTTGTCGAAGCTAATACACACATATTCAAAGTTAAGGGTCTTCAGATATCATCATGGTGGCCAACTAAGAGGATTATAATGTCCATATAATGAAAATATATTACCTTAAATCTTTGAATGCGATATGGTCGCATGCACTCTTAAATAAAGTTAGAAACTATTTGTATTTAACTATGCTTTATGCCAGCTTTTTTACATGCATTGATGTTGGTGGGTGAAACTCTTGATTTATCAAATATCTATTTGATGCTTGATCATATTCCTCCAAGAACAGGTTCGTGCATATGCTGTCAGTGTTCTGGAGAGAGCTGATGATGAAGAGCTCCAATGTTACTTGCTTCAACTAGTTCAGGCTCTTAGATTTGAACGAACAGACAAATCTCGGCTTTCTCAGTTCCTAGTGCAACGCTGTATGTACTGCATTTCTGATGTCTAAATCATGGATTCCTGTGTAGATGTATATGGTATTCGCCGAACTTTGCAATGAATCCTGTTTCCCGTATTTGAAACCTTATTGCTCTTTGACAGCATTAAACAACATTGAGTTGGCTAGCTTTCTCCGATGGTATGTTGCTGTCGAGTTTTATGATCACGGTTATACCAAACGCTTCTATTGTACTCATGAGCTACTGGAAGAGAATATGATGAAGGTATGGATTCTCAAGTCTTTTTTTATACGTCATCGTTTCACCGTTGCCTATATTCCTGCCTTAATTTATGATTCTTCAAAAAATTCTATTACCGATCATTTTTTCACTATGTGTTTTTCTCTCGGAATGAGAATACCGTCTATTTATGATCCCATTAAGTACCAATTCCACTTTGTTTTAAAATTGCATCATGGCAGTAATTGCATTCTATTATATAATTTCAAAGTGAAGGAATTCTGTTTCTCCGGAACATTTATGAATTCTGTTTCTCCGGATCATTTTAGAGTTAAGGATATTAATCTGTGCTGTTTTAGGCTTCTATTTGCAAGTAGCAAGTGACAGGGTCTTCATTTTTTTGGACATTGTCATAACCATCCTCTTTGTAATTGCTAGTTGCAAGCTGGTCCAGATGGAGAAGATGGGTTCAAGTTGTGGCAAAGTTTGGTGCGGCAGACAGAATTGACAGCACAGTTGTGTTCTATAATGAGAGATGTCAGAAATGTGCGAGGAAATACTCAGCAAGGTTTCCTAAAACCTTTTTGTTTATTTTATGTGCAGTTTTCTCTTCCACTTTTCTCCATAAGAGAAGTCTCCACATGCTAATACTTATAAATCTGAGATGCTTAAAGAGATTAACATTTCTTTGATACGTCTCCCGGTTTTATGAACTTGTAGGTCGTTCAAATGGTATCTCTAATGGATCGCTTGCTAAAGTTGGAAAATCTTGATCTGCACTTGACTCCATATAAAGTCCTTGCTACTGGACAAGATGAAGGCATGCTTGAATTCATCCCATCACGGTCTTTGGCTCAGGTACTTCATCTTGAATACTTAAAGGACGTTGGCCACTAAACATTATTAGTTAATCCCGTGTAGTCTGTAAATATCATATGTTATATATCCGATATGCTTGAGTACTGTCATTCAGCTTCTGCGATATCCTAAATTTCTTCTGAGTTATCATCCGTATGGATCTTTTTGTGGGGTCTTTGTCCTCAAAATCCAGATACTCTCAGAGCATCGTAGTATTACAAGCTATTTGCAGAAGTTTCACCCTGATGATCGTGGCCCCTTTGGTATTACTGCCACTTGCCTGGAGACGTTTATCAAAAGCTGTGCTGGCTATTCGGTCATCACGTATATTTTGGGCATTGGAGACAGGTAACCAGTTACGCTATGTTTCAGTTTCATCTGGTCATTCCAACACAAATTTATTCATCGTCTTAATCTTTTTAGGTTGTAAGAATTCTACTCAGTTCAAAATTTGAAAACCTTACAGAAAACAAACATTCTTATAACCTGTGTTTCAGAAGTTGGGCGTCATTAGTTCCCATCACACATTCATTATCTGGACTCTGGAGACCAATTTCCTTTAGTACAACATTTAGTGTGTTGCTCTTGCGATATGGCTCTTCATGCAAGCATCTCGCTCCCAACAATGCAGGCTCTGACTCTGCGTAAAAATTATAGTTTTTGTTTTTATGGTGTGATCCTACAGGCACTTGGACAACCTTTTGCTTAGAGATGATGGGCGTGTGTTCCATGTTGACTTTGGTTTTATTCTCGGCCGAGACCCCAAGCCATTTCCACCACCAATGAAGCTCTGCAAAGAAATGGTAGAGGCGATGGGTGGTGCAGAAAGGTATATCATTCGTCTTATCCCCCGCTTCCATGGTCTGACTGACTGACTGACTTTGTTAATATCTTCCCCATCAATTCCTGGCAACAGTCAATACTACACCCGGTTCAAATCTTACTGCTGTGAAGCATACAACATCCTCCGGAAATCAAGCAACCTGATTCTGAACCTTTTCCATCTGATGGCGGGTTCCAACATTCCAGACATAGCTTCTGACCCGGAGAAGGGCATACTCAAGGTAATGTGTCCACCGTAACAAGTCTTCTCTTAACCAAGCTAAGCTTCACCAACATCCCATTTGTCAGTAGTAAGTATCTCTTAACCAAGCTTCACCAAAATGCTTGCGTGGGGTGCAGCTCCAGGAGAAGTTCCGGCTAGACTTGGACGATGAAGCTGCCATCCACTTTTTCCAGGATCTTATCAACGAGAGTGTCAGCGCTTTGTTTCCGCAAATGGTTGAGACCATTCACAGGTGGGCTCAGTACTGGCGCTAAACGCACCGCTCAACCCTCCTAGTTACAGAAGGAAAGCGATGGTACAATGGCCGGCAAACACAAACGGGGCAAGAAATTAGTATTTTCCTCTGTACATATGTTTTTGGCTTTTGGGTCTCAAGAATCAGGGCAGGACAAATGTCACTCACTTAGGTCTAATTACGCTGTACAAAACGTCCAAGTGAAATGGTTCATTGCTATTTATTTTTATACGGGTCAGATTCTGTGCTTAATCTTAAAACTTAAGTATACGCTAACAGTAAGCTTTTCCTGTCTTTCTTTTCTCATTCCGGGGCTGTCGCCGGCTCCTTTTAGGTGATCGGCGGTAGCCCAAAATTTTTATTTTCCTGTTTTTATTTCTTTATCATATTTTGTTTTTCTTGCATGTGTCTTGGGAAGGTTTCAATCGGATTTCCAGCCGTTGTGGCTTTCAGTTTTCTCCTTTCCAGTCGAGCTATGGCTCTTCTTTCAGATTTTTTTTTTATAATGTCTTCTTTCATATCTATGTTCTCTGTTCTTGGGCTTGCTCGTCGTAGGAGCTGGAGTCTGCAACTTAGGAGCCTCTTCCAGATCTAGATGGTGGGGTAGTCTCTCGTTGCTGGCATCATCTTCAAGGTGAAGTCATTCCCTTCTTTTCCTCTCCGACCTCCCTAGGTGTTTGAGTGGCTTGGTGAGCTGTCGGATGGTGGTGGGTTGGGTCTTCTCCGGTGGTTACAGTTGGGAAATGGTGTTTTACGTGGAGTTTGTGGCTACCTTGGGAGCTTCTACTCTTCTTCGAACCTGATCTCTCTGCCTCGGCCTCCTCTGCCTCTTCAGATTGGAGCTATCTGGTTCATATCCTTTTCCACCGCCATGGAGTCTAGTTTCTAGATTCACTGTGATGGATGCCTTTGAGTTTTCCCCAGGAGGCGGCACATGGAGTGATGATGTTCACCTACCATGGATTTCGATATGATCGGACAACCTGATTGTGGTTTTGTTGTACTTTGATTGGTTGTTTGCAAGAGAGATTCATGATGATCTATTTTTCGGTCAAGGGTTTTGCTCTTTTAGCGTGGTTGCTTGCAAACTGTGTTCTGTTCTTTGTTGTTGCATTTTGTCTTACACAGCTTTGTTTGTAACCAAATACCCTTGGGCTTCCTCTTGTTGGAACCAGATTGTTGGTTCGTTCTCCCTCTTTGTAACTAACCAGTTTTAAGTGCAATAAAGTCCCCCTTTGTCAAAAAAAAAAAGAAGCTTTTCTATTGGCTTGGCTGGTAGGATTTTAGTTAGCTTATGGAAGATTAGGAGTTAGTTTGTTATTAAGAGTAAATTAGGTATTAAGGAAAAAATTAATAGAAATACTAGTTTGGTACCCGGTCGTTGGCCGAATTACATTGCGTTGGGTACAACAAAACCTTAAACCGATCGGCTGGATAACAACAACGTGGGAAGTAGGTTAGGTACCAGGACCAACGTGTATACGACATTGATTGCCACTATATGACAATGTCATTTTAGGTTAAACTTGGTCTAGAATGAGGTAGTTATTGACACGTGCTAACCATTGGCAATCATATGCACGGATGAATGTGATCAATCATCCAAGTAAATAAGAGAACTAATCCATAGCTATAAGAGAAACAACAGTTAAAATAGAAGAAAAACCAATTGGAAAGTGATTCTTCTTCTTCCTAGCTGCTTGGGTGGATGATTGGAGATGAAATCTGCCCTGCAATTGTCTTGGGTAGGTCCAAATCATCTATAATTCTCCTTAGCTCTCTCTATCTCTAACCTTGAAGAATAATCTCTAGGGGTGGGCAACGAGAAACGGATATTTGGGTATACCCGTACCTGTCCCTTTTTTTAGACTTACGGGTACTCATATTACCCGTAATATTATTAACAGATGAGACTTGGGATTGTACATTCTACATTAGGTAACCGCGGGTTACCCACAAATACCCATTTGGGTAATATGGGTACTCGTTATACCCATTCAAAATACAAAGGCTGAACTGAAAGGCATAAAGCAACCACTGCCACCATACTCGCCCACCTCTTCCGTCACGATGTACACTTTGACAACTCCAAATCTGTTCTCTGCTACGAAATCAAGCATCATATTAATTCCAGCATCATTAAACATGATTGATTTTTTGTACACCATGACATTTTCGTCGTAAACTGACATCCAATATGCCATCTTGCATAGTCTTCGATGACCACCTATGCAACACCTTTCCTCACAAATAAGGAAGAGATCCTGCCAGCTAATTTTTCTTTCCATCCTGACAGTAGGGGTGAACAAACACACCCGCAAACCGACCCACCCGTCCAACCCGATCCAACCCACCCGTATTTATCGCTAAATCGAAGGTTTTGGGTTGGGTGAGGGTTTTCTTTTGTACAACCCGCCTCTTTTGGGTTGGGTTTGGATTTTGGATTACACAACCCATAGAACCCGACCCAACCCGTGTTCCAATTATTGGTATGAGTTCGTATCCAAAAAAATATTTATGTCGTATATAGTCATACTTATGAGAAAATTAAGATATTTCGTCATGTTTTCCTCTTAAAGTCTCACTAATCTAATGCATTCTTCGACTTAAAGTTTAGACATATATTTAATATAGTTATGATTCACATAATTTTTTTTTCTTGTGTACAATTTTAAAAGAATATCATATTATGGATGCGTTCATTTGTAACCATTTTAGCCTATTTCAACAAATGTCGTGAAAAAAACTAGACATAAGTTGAAGTAAATCAAGTTTTATTAAAATTCATACAATATTTGTGAATTTTGACACCTTTCACCTCTGTTTATTCGTTTGAATTTTTAATTCGTTATAAAATATTTTTATGATGCAGAATAATTACATATTTTGTGTTGGGTTGGGTTTTTACTTAAAAATATCGCCAACGCGACCCAACCCAATTAGAAACAAACCGTAGGGTTTAGATTTTTTGGGTGAATTTGGGTTTAATATTTCCCAAACCGCAGTGCATGGGTCGGGTGATTAAAATGCCTAAACCCGGACCACCCCACCCATGTACACCCCTACCTGACAGTACTTGACTCACCACCTTCGTAGTCAACACTCTGAGATATTGTCACTCCACCATTCCAACAAATCAATTGGTTGAACTTTTTGAAATTCCTTTCCATTTATGCATTTTACAATACCAAAAGTTAGATAGAATTCAAAGTCTAAATAGAAATAAACAACCGAATATTAATCCAAAACCCTAATCCATATTTAACCTACATTCAAAGGCTAACGTAACCCATGCTTCAACCAACAAAACAAAACATACGTTAAAATGATAGAAGCTCAACGAACCAATTTAACATATCTTAAAAATAACAACCTGTACAACTAAACCTCAATATATCAAGCAAGCATTAAACCAAAACCATAATCTACATTCAAACCGCATTCAAAGGATAATGTAACCCATGTTACAACCAACATAAACAAGCATACCTTTCACTGGCAAAAACTCAATGAACCTCTTTCTTCATTGCCGAAAATTTCTTGCCTTTTTGCTCTTTTTGTTGGTTTTTTTAGATTGAAGAGATGAATGAGTTGAAAGGGTGTTGGGTATTTATTTTCGTTCACTGAGGAGTAGTTCACTATACACCCTAGCAATCCACTCCAACTAGGAAACCTATCGCTGCACCCAGTCCTAAGATATGTCAGGAGAAAGCGACTTTACGAAATTATTGGAAGTGGTTCGCTGCACTTGGCCTAACAATGTTCTTCACTTACATTGGAAGCGAACTACATAAAAATATGTCAGCATAAAGGTTTATTCAAAGTGGTTCACTTTCTTAAGCAGCGATCCACAGGAGTTCGCTTATTATTCCAGCGAACCAACGTCATTCACTCTGCATACCAGGGAACCACTCTAGTTCGCTTCTTAGACCCGTGAACCACTTCGAGTCCGCTTTCTTTTCTAGCGAATATTGTTGTTTGCTCCCATAGCAGGCCAATTGCTTGGTGGTTCGCTTAACTATTGATAACTTTAAAATTTGTACGAAGCACACTCACGTATATCCTAAGAAGGCCAAGTATAACAATACTAGAGATGCAATATAGTTGTTCGGTTGTCCATGAGTCACGATATCGTAGGTTTCTTAGGGTCGGTTTTTATCTAGTCGACGTGTTACTTAGAAGGTGGACAGTTAGATATTAATGAACTAGAGGTCAATAGAAGAGAAGAGGTACTTTGGGTGCCTCCTCGCTCTAATCGTTGGAGATAACATACAAAGGATAGAAGGATGATCCATGGTAATCGAGGTGCGGAGATTGCTAGTCTAGCGATTTGCTCAATGGTCATGCAACCAATCCCCTCCTACACCGATCCACTAGCCCTATGTCACCTCATTTAGCTTCATGATACATGGATATAACCTATCTCCTCTAAATGGGTTCTACCCATCCACATTCTAGGCCATAGAGTCGATGGTCACGCATCGACACCCTAACTTTGCCTAGGTGGACGTCTAATAGGTAAGGGTACAATCCACTCGTCCACCATACTAGATTCATAGATCAATCATCCTAACCTATCATGCCAAGATCGTTCAATCCTTACATAACCTACATCAAGCCCTAACTAGGCTAATCATAGAAAACACATGGAGTGACAAGTACAAAGCATAATAATCATAGATGGAGCATAAACAACACTATGCAAATACAATTCATCTATAAATCACAAGAAAGAGGATGATAAATCCCCTACCACCTATGTTGCAACAAGGGCAAATGGGATACATACAATTCCACACTACTTGATGCAAAGCAAAAACAATAATTAAATAGACCTTGATAGATAGGTTCATAATCATTCACAAATCAAGTCTAAACCATCCGATTACATATGAAACCCTATGTTAGGGTTTTGGGGACTAAGCCTAAAGTACCTTGAGGGACTATCACATGAAGAGGGGAAGAAATAAGAAAGAAGGGTCTCAAGTGCGGGAAATCCTCCTCCAAAGCTCTCCTCTACTTCTTCTCCTCTTCTTCTCCAACATTTTACTTCTCTCTCTACCCTCACTATAGAACAAGAGAGACAACAGCATTCTTCCTTTGCTGGTGCAGGAGTTAGCGGGTAAACTTCGCGGTCACGATCCTGAAGTCACGATTGCGATCTCTTCTCCTAGTCTCGGAAGTGAAGCCCCGCGAGTCGACTATCCAGAGTTTCTGTCTTCCTTTTACGGCAGTTTCTCCGAGTTCGTGGTTGCCTCCTCAAAGATTGTAGGCGCGATCTTTGGCTTGAGAATCTGCGATCTTCTTCTTGACTTCGCAGCTCCACTTCTCGACCATGATCTCTGCCCCTCTGTTGTGGTCTCCTCGTTTTGTCCCCTTTTCTACACTTATGACCCATTTTTGTGTTGAAAATGCAAGTATAATCTAATAAACCCTAAAATGACATGATTTACTCCGAGAAACCAATGCAGTCAAAATCGCGCTTTAAAACTTAAAAGCTTACGATTTTACATTTTTGGCTCACCAAAATGCTTCTACGTAGAATCGTGATTTCTCCTTACATATGTAGTCAAAATCTACGTTTTAAAACTTAAAAGCTTACGGTTTTACGCTTCTAGGTCACCAACCGCTTCTAGGTAGAATCGCGCTTTTGACTGCATTGCGAGAAACGGATTCGGGATATATATGATGAAATATTAACCATTGAGATAAATGAAATGACCCGAAAATACCTAAAGTATAGAGACTAAATAATATAATTTTGTGTGTTATCAACTGCGACGAAACTCTGACATTTTCAGAATTTTTTTGAAGTGCGGTATTATGAGAATTTTTCGCCCTAAAAAGAATAAAAGTTACACTTTTAACCCCCATAGCTTCTTTACCTTCCCTTCCTCAAACAAACATCACTTGGACTAAAAAAACACTCTCTAAGGAGAGAAAAATCTCTCATCGTCATTTTGAAGCCGATATCGTCGATAGGACGTCTGAATCATGAGTAGCGACTCCGACGAGGTAAGAACATGAACAAAAAAAAAAAAAAAAAACAGAAAATGGGAACCGCGGGTGATTTGCGGTCCGACCATGGTCCAACCGCAAGTGACCTGCGGTTGAACCATGGCCGGACCGCAAATCACCTGCGGTTGAGCCATTGGTGGACCGCAATTGACCTGCGGTTGGACCATGGTCGGACCGCAAATCACCTGCGGTTCAGCCATGGTCCAACCGCAGGTCAATTGCGGTCCACCAATGGCTTAACCGCAGGTGATTTGCGGTCCGACCATGGTCAAACCGCAGGTCACTTGCGGTTGGGCATTTTTTGGTTTTTTTTTTTTTTTTTCGTTGAATAATTTTTTTTTTATATGATTTATGATTGTTCCATGAAATAATTTGTTGGGTTTTGATTTATATAATTTATTAGATTTATTTGCATAATTATTTTTGGAATTGAAGGATTTAGCATTAGAAATTAAGATTAGATTTTTGGAATTGAAGGATTTAGCATTAGAAATTAAGATTAGATTTGGCCTTAAATTAAGATTAGATTTAATTTGGTGTTAATCTAGAAAATTAAGATTAGATTTTGCATTACAAATTAAGATTAATATAATTTATTAGATTTATTGGGTTTTGATTAGATTTTTGGAATTGAAGGAATTAGCATTAGAAATTAAGATTAGATTTGGCCTTAAATTAAGATTAGATTTAATTTGGTGTTAATCTAGAAAATTAAGATTAGATTTTGCATTACAAATTAAGATTAAATTTATTGCATAAATAATAGATTCGCATATGAAGTTATGATGATTATTAATTTTAATACTGATAACATTGCAGGATATTGGAAGTTACAATCCGGATGGCCATGATTACACCTCGGATTTCATTGATGGCGTGAAATACACTATGGAGTTGCAAGCATATGAAGCAGCCATTGAGATTGCAAAGGGTTTTGGGTTTTATTTGGTGAGGGCATCGAACAAAAAAAATACGAATGAAGGTACTTGGCGACATTACTTACATTGCACTCATGGTAGGAAGAAGAAGTCGAAGGAACCTGATCCGAGTAAGGAAACGAGGCCTCTTACATCTACTGAAAAGTTGGGGTGCGAGTTTAAGATCAAGCTTGAGCGGTCAGGTGATGGATATTGGTTGATCCTAGGGGTGGCAAATACAAAGAATCCTGGTGCTAATTTGGGTTTCCACAATCATCAGTTGGAGCTATTTCCGGAGGGATCAAAGGGAAGGAATGTTTTGACTACAGAGGACAAGCAATACATCAGAGAGCTGAGATCAGCCGGTGTCCCACCAAGGAATATCCACAAGGCAGTGAATGACAGAAAAGGTGCAAATGGAACACACAACAGAAAGCAGATTTATAACGAGTGTCACAAGATAAGGAAAGAAGAGCTTGGTCAGATGCACAAACCAACTTCGAGGATGAGACGGAGCCGATCCATAATGATACAGGTTAGAAATTATATTCCTAATTTCGGGTAAACATATAGTGTAACTCTTTGTATTAATTTATCGTGTTATGCTCTTTGGCTAGATGGTGCACCGAATGGGAATGCACAAACCAACTTCGAGAATGGGACGGAGCCGGTGATCCATAATGATACAGGTTAGAAATTATATTCCTAATTTCGGGTAAACATATAGTGTAACTCTTTGTATTAATTTATCGTGTTATGCTCTTTGGCTAGATGGTGCCCCGTGGAGGGTTGCTCGGATTCCCAATACTAGTTGGAAGAATTACCCATGGCTACATTGTTTGGAATCCTACGTGCAACGACTAGTTCGTGGTTGGTTCAACCCTATTCCAGATGGACACTGTGGATTTCGAGCTATATCACAAGCAGCTACTGGGGACCAAAGGAATTGGCCACAAATGAGACGCGCTGTTCTAGAGGAGCTTGAATCCCGTCCTGAGCTTTATAGAGCCTACTATGATGGAATAGCAAATGGAATAGAAGATGGCATTCGACGTTGCAGGTGGGCATCAACAAGTGGCTGTGGACCTTTCAACTGGATGGATAATGCGGAACTCTTCGTCTTCGCCACCTTGCATTCATGGGCCATCGTTGTATACAGTCAAGGCGGTCGTTATACCGTGCTACCTGTGACGGCCCCACCAGGAGTAACAAGACCACGTGGGATCTTATCACTACATTTTACGGGGGATCATTGGGTGCGACTTGACTTTCGACATGGTCAAGTGCCCATGCCTCCAATTAACTACCTTTGGCCTATTTATCATGACCCTAGTGTCAATGGGTGGGATCAATTCTTCTTACATGAGCGTGCGCTTTATGATAGATTGAACCCACGGGGATGAATTGTATAACTCTCTATTGTATAACTCTCTATTTACGAATTGTATAACTCTCTATTGTTGAAACATTTAGTAATCTACCATGTTGATTAACTATTTTAGCAATGCATTGAATGTAACTAAAGTAAAAAAACACACAACCGTCTCAATTAAACTACAAACGATGACAAATAAAACACACAATAGTCATAGTTCAACTACAAACGATGACAAATAAAACACACAATAGTCTCAGTTCAACTACAAACGATGACAAATAAAAACACAATCGTCTACTGAGGCGGCTGCCCTACCAACTGATCGTACAACTCGAAAACTCCAGCTGCCATATCATAGAGCTTACCACCGTCCTCCTCCCACTTACTCCGGTCCCTCGTCTGCAACAAGGGGCCTAAACGATCCACAATCTGCTCTCTCAACTGTAAATAGAAAACAATGTTAGAATAAATAACAAATGTCCTTTATATTTGGAAAAGCAAAAGAAAGTCATAACTAACCTGATGAACTAGTAGTGGTCGAGGCTGAGGCTCCTCATCAGTGGGGTGGGTGATCCGTGGGTGCGATCTAGTCAGAAACCAGTCAACGTACTCCTCCACGATCTCCGATGGCTGCTCGCACGGAGTTTAAAAAACAGAATTTTAAAAAAAAAAAGCCGAACCGCGGTCAACGCGCGGTTTGACCGACGGTCAACCGCGGTCAACGCGCGGTTGGACCTGCGGTCAACCGCGGTCAATGCGCGGTCCGACCAGCGGCTGACCGCGGTCAAAGCGCGGTTTACCCATCGGTCAACCGCCCTTTGACCGCGGTCAGCCGCTGGTCGGACCGCGCGTTGACCGCGGTTGACCGCAGGTCCAACCGCGCGTTGACCGCGGTTGACCGTCGGCTCAACCGCGCGGTGACCGCGGTTCGTGCAATTTTTTTTTTTTTTTCTTACCTTCTTCTCCACGCGGCTGGAGGCGACGGGGCGGCGACGGGAGGCGACGGGGCGGCGACGGGAGGCGACGGGGCAGGCGACGGGAGGCGACGGGGCAGGCGACGGGCGGCGACGGGGGCGGCGGGCTGGCGGCGGGAGGCGACGGGGGCGGCGGCAGGGGGCGGCAGGGGGCGGCGGGCTGGCGTCGCCGGCGGTGGCAGGGGGCGGCGGGCCGGCGGCGGGCTGGCGTCGCCGGCGGTTGAGGGGGAGGGAGTGCAGAGGTGAGGAGTTGGGGGGAGGGGGAGGGAGAATGAATTTTTGAATTTGCCTTAAGGGCTTGTTTGTTTTGAGTTTTTGCTTAAGGGCATGTAGGTAATTTTATATTTTAGTTAGGGCGATGTTTAGCAATTCTTAGGGCGACATTTAGCGATTCAGTATCTCTACTACTCTACCTTGACAATTGGTATGTCGACATCTCAATCGAGCGGTTAAGACAAACGTCACTTTCATATGACACGTGGTAATGGTGTTGCTTCCATTCAGAATTCAGATCGTGATACGCCAACACGTACCCCAGCTTTCCTGCCTGCCATATTCTCTGCACCACCGCCTCAGTCAAGAAGAAGCTGGCTGTGTTTGTTTTATCCTCCACCTCTCCAGAGTACGTAATCTCCAAATCTAGCAGTTACTTTTGTGTGTTTGTTTTAAAGTTAATGAAATTAATTAAGTAGGTTTCTGAAAGCACAAACCCAAAGTTAAAGCGCGTTTTCTGGACGGCCAGATAGATAATTGCGTATCCGGGGTTTTTCGTGAAACTCAAACAAAGGCTAAAGTCGAGGAGAAGTGGAGAACCCACGAGAAGCAGTGAAGCAAGCAAGAATCTTTTCCGTCCATAAAAGGAAAGGAAGCGTGAAATCGGAGGGGAATCAAGTGAATGCTGGATCCTGAAGCAAATCGAAGAGAACCCAATTGTTAGCAACACTGCGAGCGAGGAAGGGGGGAAAGGCGTTGGCCGGCGATTCGTTTTCCGTCTCTTTCTTCTGGTTTTGGGCTCTTCAGTTTGCTGCTTGATGGTGGGAATCGGTGCTGCGAACTTGAGGGGCTAACAAACGGCGCCATCTCTCCTGCGACAGTGAGTGACCACGAAAGGGGAAAAGAAATGAGTAATCTTTTCAAGGGTTCGCCGTACAGACGGCGCCGAGACCTGGAGTCTGGTAGCCGCTCTGCTGACTTGGACCGCGACCTCGATGACTACGAGTCTTCTAGTCCTTTCAACATTACCAGTACCAAAAATGCTTCTGTTGAGCGTCTCCGCCGTTGGAGGGTAAGTTGATAATCTGTCACTCTCGCTTCTTCCCTCTCTGAACCCATGGTTGTTCCCGTTCTTCTTATCACCGCATACCTTCGACATTTAACATTATTGCAAATTGCCGACTGGAATTATGCATTTGAACTCTTTTTCCCCCTTTACTCCAGCAAGCTGCACTCGTGCTCAATGCTTCTCGCCGATTCCGGTATACCCTAGACTTGAAGAAGGAAGAAGAGAAGAAGCAGATATTAAGAAAGATTAGGGCACATGCACAGGCTATTCGGGTATATGTCTCATTTGCGAACTCGTAGCTCTGCCTTTTGTGCTATCATCCACTTGCTTGCTCATGATTTTTAATATCTGTATGCTGGACAGGCTGCATACCTTTTCAAGGAAGCTGGACTCCGAGTAAATGGTACTTTCTCCTCTCTAATCTTCAGTGTTTAGTGGTCATCGTCGTTGACAAGTTGTTTGGGTGATATTGGTTGTCTGGGATAGTATTGCTGCCTCATATCTGTTATTTGTTCCCTTGCAATATTCTTTATTATTATCCCTTTCTATGACCGTTCTAATTCACTAGGCGATGTGAATTGCTTCGAAGTATCATAGGATTTGGTTTGCTTCCTTTTGTGAACTTCCTGTTCTTTTTTTATCGTCTTCGATCATGTTTAGGTTCCTACTCTCAGTGAAATTGTTGTTAAGATGTTTGTGCTAGCGCATAATTTTCCTCATGCCATCGTTAGCCTTCCCTTGTTGATCACATTCAGATCACATTCTGTTTTAAGTTGTCTATTTTCTTTGGTTAGATATCCATGTGTATGGTCGGGTTGCTTTCTTCATTTTCCCTCCTCACTTCTGATAGAAGGTTTTCGTTTGGCACCTGTTTGTGAATCTAGAACAGCCAACTACCCCATTCGGCTCTTAACTTTAGTCATCGCCATCTTTATTGCACTGCTCTACCTTGTGGAGCTGCTATTGTTGGTGAAGTTGGTATTCTATTTATAGATAGTGCACTTCTTTTCTTCGAGTAGAGTTCAATTTAAGAATAATTATTTCTTCATACTTCGTAGGCTACCTGATTACTTGCACCATTTTCTTTTTCAGGAACAACGGACCCACAGAAAACCTCAGGCGGGGATTTTGCAGTTTCCCAAGAACAACTTACCACTGTGACAAGGGATCATAATATTACTGCTCTGCAGGAACTTGGTGGTGTAAGTCTTCATTCCACGTTGATATTTGGTATCAGCCATTTGTGTTTCTCGATATTATGAATTTGTGTTTTGAGTTTTAGTATCTACATTTGTGTTTTTCATCAGGTTAAAGGGCTTGCAGAGGCCCTGAAAACGAGTCCGGAGAAAGGAATTCTTGGAGATGATTCTGATTTAGTGAAACGAAAGAATGTGTTTGGCTCTAACACGTATCCTCAAAAGAAGGGAAGAAGCTTTTGGGTAATGCTTTTTACAGTCCCTATATCTTTCCTTTGCATTTTGCTAGCCGCTTGAACATGGAAGAACTCCATCTTATCTGGATCTGGTTGGTTTGCTTTATTGTAGATGTTTCTTTGGGAAGCTTGGCAAGATTTGACCTTAATCATATTGATGGTAGCTGCAGCTGCTTCTTTGGCCCTTGGCATAAAAACAGAGGTGGGACTCGGTGTCAACTGCTGATCACCACATCATGCAATCCATTTGCATATATAGTATGGTGTGAGGTTTACAATTTTGGGGAGTTGATCCTCACTTTGAGGATGGTAATGAGTTTTGCTTGCTTATTATGGTGCATATATAGTCTACTGTTTTAAGTTTATGGGATTATCGAGTTCCTATTCAGTTCAAATTGCAATCTAACAAGATGAGGCATGTTTGTTCTCTAGATTTAGTGGTTTTATCAGCATTCTGTTGCTCTGTTTTCCCCCTTGAAATTGGTCTTGGGAGGTATTTCCTTATAGTTTTGCACTTGTCCTTTGATGCGTGGTCGCTTTACTTGGTATCCAATTTCTTGCAGGGTATCAAGGAAGGCTGGTATGATGGTGTCAGCATTGCCTTTGCTGTTCTTCTCGTAATTGTTGTAACTGGTATGATCTTTTGTCGGGAATCACGTTTTTGCTTTGGAAAGTGGTGTGTTTCCCCTTGGATGTATACGCTCTTTAACGTAAACATGCGCACCAACGTTATCTTCGCTTTTAATACTTAGCTGATAACTATTTTCGCTGTTAAGGCTTCACTAGTCGCTTCATAGTCATTTGTCGAAGGGGATCTCACGAAAAGCAGGATTATGTGCATTTTTATGATCTGGTTATTAGGTCTCTGTCTGTTTGTATGTTTTGCATATTGGTCATCAGTTTCTTGACTTCAGATGCTGCTAGATTCATTATGGCTAGTAATATATATTTATGTTCATGTTCCTTTACTTAGAGTATGTGCAGCCTGCTTCTTGTGATGTGCTTTATTAGTTAGTTTCCGTTCTTATCTTTTTATAAAAGCTCTCAATCTCTCATTCAGAGTCTGTCCTAGTTGAAAAAGTTCACAGGCTGGAAAATATCATCCGTAAAATAAAAATAAGAAGTAAAAAGCAAAATACTAGCTAGCTTCGTTTATTAATGGAGAAGGTTTGTGGTCGAATTTTCATCTAGCTAAATTATTTTGAAAAGAAGCCCAAGAGATTGGTCTACGGTGTTTGTGGATGAAAAAAACATGTACTGCTTTCAATGCTTCAGGTCTCGGGGTTCACCATATTTAAAGACAAACCTTTAGAATAGAGCTATTTTTTGTTAAAAATCGAAGCCCTTAATGTACTGAAGAGGCTAGTATGTAACCCATGTGCATGATACATGACTACTCAAGTCTGATTCTGTGTTCACAAGCCTTCCATAGTGTGTTGTGGAAAACCTTTCCGCTGGCGCTGTTGTTGTTTGTGGGCCTGTCCTGCATGTATTGACAGCACTTTGGTCTTCCATCAGCGACCGCTTGTTAATAATAACTCAGCAGTTCATGACATGTCAGGGCCTTGCTGGCTATTATTAGCTAACGCCTAATTGTGTATTATGTGATGCTTGCTGTATCACTAGAGGAAACATTTTATTCAGATTTGGGCTTGTTATATGTTGGTAAACTACTTCTCGAAATGTTTATGACTATCATACACTCTGGAGTTTCCTGATTTAAACTCTTACGTTTTTCAGCTATAAGTGATTATAGACAGTCCCTGCAATTCCAAAATTTGAATGAGGAGAAGAGAAACATACATTTGGAGGTATTATTATTCTAAAAGCCCAAGTTCCCTTCTCTTCTCATTTCTCTTCCACTGCCAGTCTGTTACATATGTGTTCTCCTGTATTGTGTTTTATGGTCATTGACATTCCGCCTCCTCTTTTCATATAACCCTTGCAATGC